TTTGGCTAGCTGGGAGTGAAGGAATGGATCCCTTTGGTAGTCCTTATAGAATCCATTATAGTAAATTCCATTTTCTCTGTCATTCCTTCGAAACCCTAAACCCTAAACCCCGAAACCTATATAGCCCTGTTATAGTAGTTTCCATATTCTTTTCCATTCTCCCTATGTAACCCCAATATGCAGCCAATAATCCCTATATGATCCCGATTATTCCTGTAGTTTTCAATTTCTTTTCCATTCCTTCATTGCCAGCTAACCAAAGGCCAGTGGCAGCAGACCTTGATGCATTGATTTCTAGGTTAGGATGTCCTTCAGGGAGGGCGGTCCAAAAGGTGTAGGTCACCTAGTGATCCCCATCGTTCCCTTGTACTCCCTAAGATTCCCTAAGGTTCCCTAAGGTTCCCCAAGGCTCCCTTGTACCATCCCCCCTTGAACCATACCCCCCTTTAGGAGCCTATAACTAGGCACACGGCTCGGCCATGAGGACGGCTGGTTTATGTGAGCTATAGTCTGAATTCCTTGAAAAGGTTACGTAGGTGATTAGAAATACGGACAATTGTAGGGTTATGAGGGGGCATAAGGGGAGTTTAGAGTATAGCTCATGTGGGTTCTCCAGCTGAAGGGTTCCTCTTGGGGTCGTGTTTTGGGGGCGCCCTTGTCATCACTTTCAGAAACAGCCAGCAATGGCCCACATTTCTGAATGCTGCGAAGACTGAAAGGAGGCGGCCACATTCGGATTCCAAACGTCAAGTAGCAGATCTTGCTAGGTTCCCACGTTGGGTCGTGATGTTCCAATTACTGAGCAGGTGTCAGGTAAAAGGACTGGAAGGAAGCGGCTTGCTTTGTTCCCGGCTGCGTCGCAATATTACATGAGCAGATGTTCGGGCATCCCGCCACCCACTACCAGCCATCACGAGGGATGACAGTAATGATGTCAAGGTTCCTTGTCCTTCTGTTCCCGTTACATCTCTATTAGTGAGCGGGCCCCAGGATGCAGCACCCCTGCGCGATCAGAATAGAAAACAGGGATGCTGTAGTCGACAAAAAAGAAGATGATGAAATGCTGAGTATATTGCATGTTGGAAGAAGAACATTGTTCTTGCTGAGCTCCACCACTAACAAGAGCACCAGTCCTGTTCCCCGAAAGATGCCCTGAATCCTATACTGCAGCCCTGAATCCCTCAAGTCAGCAGCCGCCTGAGCTGAGGCAATCCGAAGAGCTCTGATTACAACGTTGCCATCACACCCGAGCTAAGCTTGGATGAAGTTCTTCATGTTCAAGTAATACGGCGCAGACAAGAAATCAAGTTGTCATTGCAATCAATTCTTTGAAGGTTCCAGATGGAACTATACCTGGCTTAGTTCTTTCGGCGGATTTGGGGTTCGTGTGGGTCCAAATATTACATGCTTCGGCAGCTTAGCATCCAGAAGCATGCTACCGCCTGTCCGTGTTGCTGCAAGCATGTCTATAGCAGGCATTACCTGCAGGCTTTGCATTGTTGCATGCGAATTCCGAGCACTGTTTGCAAGTGGAGCGTGTGCCAACATAGGCTCATGACTGCCTGGCAAAAGTTTCCTCAACCGACATGTTTGTGTCTCTGTAGATGAACGAGAAACAGTCCTGCCAACTTTGGTCATTAAGGCGACAGGATCAGGAAACTGAGAAGCAGAACGCAGGCTTTGATACCCTGTCCAACGCCACAGGCAGCATGATCCTAGAGCACATTGTTCAAGGTCTCTGCGCAAAGACTGGAAGGCGAGCATGCCGAGAGCGTGCTTGTTTTCACCTGCATGTAGCAAGCAGAAGAAAGTACGTCACTGCATCACATGTTCGTAGTACCGTGCAGCAACAGGGACAACGATACAAAAGCCAAGGAGGATAACGGTCAAAGCCATGGAACCAAGTGTCACATCATCGAGAGAGTCTCAAAATCAAGGATCCATTCTGCAGTCCTTTCGACTGGGAGCAGGTAAATGCAAACCTTTTTGAAACGCAGGCCCATGATCTTGAATGCTCAGACCTGATATGGGATCAGGGTAGCCCTCCTGACAGTCCCAGCTGTGACATGCATCAGTCTGTTCTTGGTTGTATTGGGTACCTCTGGACTGGCTACAGGGTCCTGATTTGCTTCCCATGTTGAGGGCGTGGGTTACTAAGGAACTCTCATCACTCAAGCCCAGCAAGCCAACATGTAACCTGACATGGAGCCGTTTGGAAATGGCACCAGTCATGGTGGCTCTTTCTGGTGGTTCCGTGTTAATTTCGGGGAGTGTGCATAGCACACCAAAGCACTGAAGAGAGCACTGCATGATCCTAATTCCACCGTTTCACTTTATAGACTGATACAATTGGAGCCTTAGCACCCTCAGATTCCTTTTGTAGGGCATAGACCTTGAACCTTCACCTTGGCTTACAGGTGGAAATCTGTAGGCCGCACAGCTCAGACGTTTAGCCAAAGACTCTGCCATATTTCCCAGACCATCATTCCAGATCTTGGATACTGTCTCAACTCTGTACCAAGTGGATACCGGTTTGTAGTATCAATATGGGTTGAGTGTTTAGGGCTTGATGAACCCCTATTAAAGGCTGTTACCGTGTGGGGGCAGTTCTGAGGAGAGATCCAACTAGCAGCATCCTGTCGTGGCACTTACTGCAAGTCTCAAGAGACCTTCTACGCAGGAACACTTCGGCTTATGTAGGGGTGTATGGAGTTTATTTAGGGGTTTATGGTAAAGGCTGCCGCTACATTCGTCAGTATCCCAATTGCCATTGCATCCTTCATAGTTGCAAAAGCTACTTCTACTAGATAAGTTTTCCAAGATGGCGCCGAGCACGCGACACCGTGGGCCACAGCTTGCTGCTGTGGCTCACCAGCTTTATAACATAGTTTCTCAACACAATCCCATTAAAATCCTTTGCAGGGACCCCAACATTTTATACTCCTTGCATCATCTGCACATTTCTGGGTTATGAGGGTGACGATTTCTGTGAAAACTCCATAACTGCAAATCTTTGTTCGTTAACCTTGGGATTCAGCACCAATAGTTGTACACCTTGCGTATTGTACATAAGAAAGCCACATCATAAAGTTTTGTCCTGTGTGCTTAGCACGTGCCAGTCTTTTGCAAACACGATTGGCTTCATGGATATGAAACCCTACCTTCATATACTTGCTGGTGATTGACAGGGAATGAAGGCATGGCAAAGATCTTGAAACTAGTTTTGGAAAATTGTATGGGCTGCTATACGGGTCACTTCTTCCATTGCCCATTGCCAACCACCAGCAATTTCATGTATCCTAAACCCGAGATCCGAAACCCTAGGCCCTAAAGCCTAAACCCTAAATCAACGGGATTTGGTTGAAGGCAATTTGTCGTTGCCCAAGCATGCAAGTGGAGCCTCATCAGCGACCTCACCCCACATGGCTGTGCACCATATGGGTGGTTGTCAAAAGTATTCCCTTTTCGGATCCCTATTATAATACGGCAACTAATATTTAGGGTACCCAAAAAGGGAATAATTTTGACAACCACCCATATGAGCTATAGTCGAAAGTCCTCATAAGGGGTTATGTCGAGCACGAGTACAGGGGGTTTTTCGGAGGATACTAGGAGTTTAGACTATAGCTCATATTGAAACGGTGTTAGGGTGCTTCAATTTCAGGGATTGGAAGTATCAATGATGATGTGGAAAAATCAGACAGGAGTGGCTCAACATAGTGGCTCAACATTACCAAAGAGCGTGTTGCTCCCAAACCCGCACTGGCACTGACTTGCCCAAGCCAAGCAATGAAGATATGTCATCTCCTCCTACACCCTGGAGTTCCTAAACCCTTGTTCGTACGCCCTGCCTTACACCCTCACCCTTAAATCGTGAGCTCGAAGCGGCGCGTTCCAGACCGTAAATGCGAGGTGCTTCTGACGCTCTTTACTTTTCGCGCCTTCGTGGCGCCTGGAAGCTCGAAGCCATCCAGCCTTGCGCCCTCGAGAGCCCAAACCACCCAGGCGCATGCTTTAAGGGATAAAGAGAATGTGTAGCATGCCCATGACTCTGTGTAGGCTATAAAACAGTTGGGATACAGGATAAACTGTCATGCCGGCTTCAAAATCCCCAAAGCGTATTCTGGAAACTGCCTACAGGGCGAGAGCATGATTCAGAGTCAGGGTACCCTTGCTGGGGGAGATCGTGCAGCACAAGTATCAGTACACTATACTGCCCCCCTACGGTTGTTTACGAATAACGACGGCAAATTAAGGGCCATCGATAGGGAACGTAAGGGGGGAACCATTGTAGGGTAGTGGGGCAACCCATGATATCAACTGTATGCTTCACCTTGGGCAGTTGTTTCAAATCACCTCCCCCGAATGTTAGAAACCCCCACTCCGTACATATTCGATAATCCCATTGTAGAATACTATGATATAGTGGGAATGCTTAATATTAGCGTGTAGGGAGGTAAACATTATGGGAGGTAGATTAAGCCATCAGCATGATCCTTGTTGGGGTGTAGCTATGACTGCACCACTTAGCTAGAAATTGCAGCATGGAACCCATGCCACTCGGAGGGTCAGGGGGATTTAGTAAGTAGGTTAATAACCCCTATGGTCCATATAGGAACCCTAGTTATCCTAATTATGAACCTACTTACTAAGTCCCCATGACCTCCATGTCAACTGCTTCTTGTAGAGCTGAGAGGCTCATGGTTGAGTGATAGGAGTCATCAGTTGCAAGTTCGAGATCTGATCAACTATTTCTGTGGCTTAGTAGGGAATACTGGAATTTATTACAGAAGGTGCTATTTAGGGATTATAATCCACTATTCCCCACTAAGCCCCAGTAAGTGTCTGTGGGCATACACTTGGAGACTTACTGAAATTCGGGCATAGGGTAGGTAGGTTCCGGTGAAAGGTCGCACACCGCTTAAGAGGCTGTTCCCTAATTCCTAAACCTTAAACCCTAATCCCTAAATCCTTAACCCTAAACCCTAAATCCTATCCAGGTCTTGGACCGAGTGGAGATCCCAGAGAACATTCCGGATGCTAATCCGCAAGGGATACTTGGCTGGCTTGGGCCTGGTAGTTGGGAGGCATTTATAGGGATGATGGAAAAGAAAACGGAAATTACTACAATGAGGTCATATAGGGTGTAGGGTTTTAAATTTAGGGTTTAGGGCTATTTCTGTTTTCTTAAGAGGGTCCTCAAAACTGCTGAGGATACAGAATCGCTTTTGGCAGTGGCGGGGACAGCGTGGCCCAGATGCAGTAGTCAACTGTTCAAGAGTTAACTACTACTCTTTCAGGCACCACGGTGGGTGGAACTAGTCTTAAACATCCCTGGAATAAAGCTTACAGTCGTTCAGATCCCCAAGTACTGCAGATTGGTCTTCATCAACCGCATGTTGCTAATCATTACGCACCATGTAAGGCCGCTTCACTTGCAAGTAGGAGTGTGCAAGGCGTGCAACTAGCTAGCCTGGATTTCAGGCATCCGGCTCGAGTACGATGTGATGCTCACCGCATACTGTTGAGCTCAAACTCCAGCCCTCAAACCATGTTACCAAGAAAAATGACCCCAAAAGATATCTTAGTCCATCAGAATTTAAATGAAGCTAACGTCCCGGAACCCTGCCATTACGCAACCTTAAAGGCACTACAAAACTCAAAAGCCCGAAAGCCCCAAAATTATGCGCCAAAACCTTCTAACTTCAGCCTCCAAGACCCTGATACTTGGTAATCCCTGATCAAAATCCATTATATCGCTCAGGTATCCTCCCTAGACCTTGAAGCCTAAAGCCCAAGAATCTTGAACATTGAAACCAAACGGATTCCTGAGGTATTCGCTACCAATCACTGGGTGAGGAGCACACTGAGGGCCCCAGCGTTCTTCTGGTCCACGGCCTGTTCCTGGGCGTAGCATTGAAAATGACGCCAACAAACAAGCAAAGAACTCTAGATCCACGGATTTCCCTGTAGAAACTTAAGGATGTAATCCAGTGAATAAGTTGATTAAGAATGCGACCAAAATCTCAATGATATTTCTGGCGTTCTAGTCGGCAGCTACGTATCCAAACTTGAGTTCCAGACGGCATCCGGAAGATTGATTTGAGAAACGCCAGTCGCACGCGTGTGTATACATATATAGTTAGATTAATTTATGTGCGTGGTACCCCCCTCAAAAACCTACTCTCTCGTTTATGTCTATCCCAGAAGCCAACATTTCTGATATGTTTACTCCCAAATCTACGAATTTTAAAAAGCATACATATAAGACAAGTTTAGAAGTTAACAACAGATTAGGGATTTGGGGTTCCGGGTCTGAAGGTGTAGGAGTTTGTTGATTCCGAGATTTGAGGGTGTATTGATGTAGGATTTTGAGTTCCAGGAATAATTGCGTCCAGGGTTTAGGGTTTCAGGGAGTTCATACAGGGCTGAGGCTTGAGGTATTTAGGTTTTTGGTCTAAAGCCTATACATAGGTTATATGGTTTTAAAGACACGGCAGGAGTTCTGCATGGAGTGGACAGTGCAACAGACAAAAGTTCATGGAGAAAATCTTTAGCATATTGGGATTGTCAAAGAGGTGCTGAGGGAATATATCTGGTGCCGCCTTAGGCCTACATCTTAGAAATTACAGTAGTTGGGGAGCCCCCCACACTCCCTCCCTCAACAATAGCACTACATGTCGGGATGTTGGTGACGTTACCGGCTTACATGGGAGTTTAGGATTCAGGCTGAACTTCTTCTGCAGATTTACGTGCATATGCGATGTTTTAAGAGACCGGCTTTTAAAATTGCTACAGGATAATTTGAACATGCATGCACATACTTGCACCCTATACCGTCCTGTAAATTGAGATGGAATTCTATTTAGTCCGTCCACAGGCAGTAGTCGTTCTAGTGCCCTTTTGCGATTCAATTAGGGAGTGTACTGTTTCCGTGCGTGTCTGAGGGTCTTGGAGCGCTCGGGTCAACATGGGTCTATGAAAAATCGAAGGCCAGCAACTGTCATCTAGAAGATACTGTAAGACTTTAGTGGGCGCCAGGGTCCATTTTCTTGTTGGGCCCTACGGGGCCCCCTGATGTTGAGCTGGCAAACATGAAAGTATGTTCGATCACCGCTCAGCCAGTTTCATATCTGATGTACACGTGCATTTCTTCCATCTAGCATCATATGCATATCTTTGAATTTGATTTGAACCGAAAGCTTCGTGCGGCAAGCGGGAATACGGATGCCACCCAGATATTGATTGTGCTGCATGGGCTCACATTTTCACGGATCAAGCACAGCAGCAAAGCTGCTACAGCTCCTGTGAACTTGGACAGCCTTGAGCTTGTGCCACTTCCTCCTTGCACATGAGCTGTTTGGTGGTATGCCGGCTGAGAATCCTGGCAGCTGGAGTTCTTCAAAGAAGCTTAAGCAACAGATCATGAGCACCTCCCCCCCCTACAAGCCAATAAATACCTTTCAAATCCTTTCAGCACTTGTTAATCCCATCCTGTTCAGACCTTCATCCTCAGCTTAGGTTTGTAAATGCTGATCACTGGCGGAATAACCTGCCGGCTCTGGCAGAAGCGGGATTCCGGGTCTTCGCTATTGACTTGCTGGGCTCAGGCTACAGCCCCCTGGCCAACCAAGGAGGCTCTTGTGGAATTATAGGTATCCATGGGGATAATATTAGGGTTCTATTGGAGTTATAGTGGGATAATGGAACAGAAAATGGAAACGACTATAGGGGGTTAAACTACTATAACGGGTTATATAGGGCTTACAACCATCATCACCAGGAGAAGAAGTAGGTAACAGTATTGTGGTGAAGGTTGTTTGTATCTGTGGGCTGACAGACTACTCATGAAACTAGGAGTCAGGTCAGAATCTATGGCGCCTTGAAAAGAGGTGGATCTCAGTTCAGGTCCTTTGCTGAAGTGATCTTCTTGCTGGCCCCAAGCAAGGAATGAAGGAACGGAAAAGAAACAGAAACTGCCACACACCAAGCCTGTCAGGTTCTATGCTTACTGGCAGTGTGTTCAGCCCATGCCTGCTGTCAGAACAACGTAGCAGCCTACCTGACATGCGGGCAGCACATGGCACATGACACAGAGCTTCGAGGGACATGGTCAAGAAACACCATAACCTCATTCAGAACCATTATGATTTGTTACGCTTTCAACAATGAGTATTTTTCAAATCCACATGTTCTTTGCAAACAAGTTGTGACTGTATTCAGACATACCCATAAGATTCATAGAGCTCCTTCAGGGGAACCCAAAAAGAATGACTTTCTCGTTGGGACATAGCACCAGGACACTAAACGGCACCGAAGATCAGAACCCTAAGCCCTAAACTAAAGGCCCTAACGCCGCAATCTTCTATCGAAATCCCTAAACCCTGAACCCCAAACTTTGAACCTGAACGTCCCTCAACAAAGTATTCCTCATCCCGGTATCCTTACTGTTCCGGGAAGATTTCTTGCTGAGAGGCTCCAAGCCACCACCCTGTGGCGAGGAGGGCCAGGCCATCAATGGCGAGAATGGCCGAAGGTGGCTTAGAGTCATTACAAAGATGGATGGAGGAAATCTTGTACCACTTCAGGTACGAAAACTATTGTAAGTTTGTGATATTAGCGGGGCTTAGGGTGATGCAAGATTCCCTCCATCAACAACTCAAACTCGTCCTCATGATGAAAACATTCATCGTGCCAGGAAACTTGTGTTGCTCCTTCTCCTCTTCCTACTACTAGTAGGACTGCTACTACTAGTACCGCTACTACAACGACGACGGCATTGCCACCCTTAGTGCCAGTATTGATGCAAGGACAGTTGACTGTTTGTGGAAATATCTGTCCTATAAACAAGAATTACTGCCTTGGAAACAAGAAAATGCAGTATGACAGCCATCCTTCAAAAAAAATGATGACCGCTGCTCGCCCTAAATTTACACAGCACGACTACCACAATGTGGAATATGCGTCGTGACAGGCAGTCTTCGAGCCATCATCATCATGGCTCTTAATCCTAAACCTACGCAGCGCAGTCTTGAAGGAAGGTTGCTGGCAGCAAAAGTTTTCAGGCCTCGCATACATAAGGTATATTGTACTGTATTATGATATATTGTAGTAATTACTATGGTATATTATTGTATACTCTTCAGCAGAAGCCGCATCCAGATGACCGCACCAAACAAAGCAAACTGCTATAATGATGGGTTATAGGGGGGTTACATGGGGATAGTGGAAAAGAAAATGGAAACTACTATAATAACGGGTTATATGGGGGTTATATACTTCAAGAAGAGCATCCAATAAAAGGTATATGCAGCTGGGGTACAAATATTTCCGGTATGAATACAAGGCCACAGCACAACTGCTGTAGAGAGCTGCTGCTTTCATGAGCGTGCACGTGTAAGAGACATGTTTTCAACTTTCCGGTTGGATTAATCATCCTGACTCGGAAAGTCCAAGCGACATAAAGATGCAAGATACTGTACGCCCGTATCCGTTTATCCTTGTCTATATGTGTATATATATATATATGTATTGGTATATATATATATGTATATACCCAGGTATATGCATATGTATGTATATATACATATATGTATGTATGATATGGTAATTTGCGCATAAATGGGAGGAGGTCGAAAAAAAAAACGAAATGAGGTTCCAAAAAAGACCCAGTCTGGGAAAACCCCCAGTATACAACCCAGGCCTCATGCCTCAACCGTTGCCTGAGTTTGGATGCTCCCTTGGTGGACCTGGTGGACGCTTCCGGCAACGACCGGGGCCCGGTCAAAGTGCCACAGCAACACCCCCTGGGCTCGGCTCCTCAAAGGCAAAAGAAAGGGCTTCATAGGGTTCATAGACTTTATATGGGTTTTACAGGGGTAAGAGAAAGGGCTTTATAGGGTTTGTTTAGGAACTCTTAGGGCTTTATAGTGGTAATAGGGGCTATATAGGGGTATATACTGGGCTTGGGCTTTATAGGATTTGTATAGGGTTTTATAAATGTAATAGAGGCTATATAGGGTATATACTGAATCAATGTTAGGGATCCTTTATACTTTTGGGGGTTCTTATATTTATGTAAAAAGGATCCCTTTTTCTTCCTAGGATACTTTGGGCTAAGACTGATAGCAAAATCTTTATAACAGCTTAGTAGTATCACAAGAAGTAGGGTGGTGGTGGTGGTGTAGTATGGTTGCAGGAGTCGCCGCTGCTGCGGGAAGAAGTGAGTCTCCAGAATAGGATTCGCCACAATTGGAATGGTGCACGTGGTACTGCAAATCGCCATCCAGCCAGAATCGCAGGTTCCACATCATACTACTCTTGGAGGAAACTTGCACCACCCAAGGTCTCCAGATTCCATATACACACCAGAAATGTGGGTACTGAAGGTGGGACGGTTTTTTCCATCACCAGTGCTAGTCAGCTACCTTAATCCATGACAACGAAGACTGTGGCACGCTTGGTCTGAGGATCCTTCATTGATTTCAGGGCGCTGCCTTGCCAACACAAAAGTGAGGAGATCCGTAGCATGCAAAAAATGCGGGCTTTTACCAAGGCAAGCCAAAGATTCACGTAATCTTCCTCGTGAACACTTCCATGTTTTACTTGCTCCAGTGACCTCAATTTTATAACAGGGTATACATTGGGGTTATAGTCCCCCTTGAGTAGATAGAACTTGGGATATATGGGAATCTTCTTATGGTGTGAAAAACCCAGAACAACGAGCCTGTGCGTTCTCTTTATCGCAATGGCGTCCTGATAATTCAATATATAAGGTTTAGGGTTTCGGGTATATTTACGGGATATGTTGGGACAATGGAAAAGAAAATGGAAACTACTATATTATCATGGGGTTTATACGTTTGCTCAGATCTACCTGGGCCACCTTTTGGTTTGGGGTTCTGCCCTTGCTTTTCGTGGTCAAAGTTAGGGCAACCTAAACCCTACAGCCCAGACCTAAAAGTCTGAGGGTTTATGAATGTTGCAGGGGGACAGTGTGGGGATTGCAGGGCATTTCTCAAAATCCTGCGTCTTTTGCATTGAACGTTCGCAGGGAGCCCGATATCCTGTACTTAAGGAATATGCCTTGCCCCTCGATTACGGAATATTGGGGGATATTTAGGGTCTAGGGTGGACATAAAAGGCTTCGGATGTACAATTTTAGCTTTTATTGAAGGGTATACATTAGAAATATTGGGCAATCTTATCACATTGTGAAGGTGCTCAGGTTTGTTACTTCTAAGATTGAAAGTATGGACGCGAATATGGGTGATTAGTCTTGAGGTAGGTATTAGGGGTGCCTAAGTACATATAGGATATATGCTAGACATATAGGGCGCCAGGATGAACGACCCATACAAGGGGCCCACGGTTTTTTCCCTAGATTCCTTCAGGTCTACAACCTAAACCCTTCAAGACAGCTAGAAGCCACACTATCCTCCCCCGCACTACTTTTTGTTGTTACTTCAGGTTCACTCTTCATTATATACCCATGCTGCATTGCTTTAAGTCCCTCAGCAGCAACCCACATTAAACCTTAAATCTAATCCCTAGCTGCAGGTCTTCAACTAGCCTTAACTTTCCTTTCATTGGCCTGGCTAAAGGGAAACCTTTGGGGTAGCATGTGCGCTGCTAACAGATCCCATGATACTTCAGGTCTACAATTTCTTCACTTGGAGTGAGCAGATCCGAGATTTCACCCGGGAGATCATTCAACCACCGACCGGTGGCCTTCCATCCGCACTGCAAGGGTCTTGAATAAGATGGTTTCGATACTCCCAACTAGCGGGTTATATGGAATTATAAACTGGTCATATAGGGGTTGTATAAGTTCTTCATGAGAGGCTTTTGAAAACAAGAACCTTTAAAAGTCATACTCATGTGGTCGTGGTTTTAGGGTTTTGCATTACCGAAGCATATTGGCCACGAGCTTCTTGCTTCTTATGATTTGATGAGCACAGCGCAAAACACCCTGAACAGGCTTGACTCTGGCTTCGGACCCTCATACAAGTTTGTAGGGCTAAGGAAAGGCACCTTCCACCAAAATTAACTTGGAACCCCATATAGCCCACAAGGGCTCCTTTCAGGTTTCATGTCAGTTTTGGGGGGCGGGTAAAGTGCATTGGGATGTCGGAAGCAAGATTCAGTTCCCTGGGTTGCTGTCACGGTTTGGGGCTTAGGGTTAAGGAATTTAAATTAAGCTACCCATATTGGGGAAACCCCATTAGTTACTATTAGTACCCATCATGGTAGCTTAATGTAAGTTCCTGAACGGCAACCGAGTCCCAACATGCCAAAAGACATGCTCATCCTGCACTGCTTGGGCATAGCGAACTCCAGAAGCCCCTATGGTGGAAGCTAAACAAAGTTTCTGCATGTCCGTTCGTACCTTCTACCTTGCGAATTCCGGTGCCTTAGTATACTAACCCATTCAGGCTTTTTAGTTTTCAGTATCAACAGTAAGAATATGTGAGGTCTGGCCCAAAGAACAGGTGTGGACCCGTCTACAAGCCAACTGTCCACGTCCTTGTGCTTTGTCTTTTCCATTTGACACTCCATGATATCTTCAAAGAGGTAGTTCGAACAAAAACGGATCAAATCAATAACAGCATTCAAAACACGTGCGTTATAGCAGTGATAACAGGCCTGGAGGTTTCTCCACAGAGGCTGCATGAGAGCTCCGAGCCTTGCGAAGAGCTCAGGCGTGACTTTGGTCACCAACTCCATCGGATCAATTTCAGGCCTGTGGGAGCTTGAGGGTTTAGGGTTAGAGTATTGGATCTAGGGATTAGGGCTGGGAGCGGAGGATTTCACAAGAGCAAGCTAAGACTAACAACCTTCCACTAACAACGAACCCCGCGCCCCTTGATAACCCCAATATGCTCAGGAAGTTTGCTGGCAGATAATTCGAGAAATAGACAAGATTGGTCATACTGGCAAAACAGGGCTTCCTTGTTAGACTTATGACTATAAACTACCAGCGGTCAGAATGATGAGGTCTGCTGTCTGCAAGAAGAAGCCTCATAGCGCCATCTGCAAACCATGCTTATTGGCTCGTCAACATGCAAATGCAAAAACTCAATCTTAAAATTACCATCGCCGCTGCTTCCATGTGCTCTCATGGCTCTAGCTTTTCTGTGGAAGCTACTTGCAGCGCCACGTCATAGTCTACATGGTCTCTTTGTGGAAGCTACCTGCAATCCTCTACATTTGGCCTATAAGTTACCCGATACCTTGTGAACTATGGTACTGTTGTATCGTAAGGTCACGCAGGGTTTTTACTATGAACAAAAACAGCCCCTAGTTATAAGCCCTGATAAAACCCTAGTTGCCATGTCAGTGTCCATTTCCTTTTCCATTTGATTCTCCAGTACTCCTAAACCCTACTGTAAACCTTGAACTCTAAATAGTAGTTTCCATTTTATTTCCCATTCTCCCAATATGACCCCAATATACCTAAATCCTAAACCCTAAACCCCTAAGGTTACCCCCAAGAAACAGGTCTCCAGGCTGCCGTTGACGAGACGGAACTGTTCAACGGTGTGGCGATTCTGAGCCTGGGGCAAATCATAGGGTTTAGGGTTTAGGGTTTAGGCTAGGCAACCCTAATGGAGACCGGTGATTAATAAACCCCGGCGTTTTAAGGACCTTAACATAAGGATCCTTATTATAATCACGGCTATGGAGGGGTTTATTAATCATGGATCTACATCAAACCCCTGAACCCTAAACTCTAAACACTAAGATTAGGGAGGTAGTATAGGGGAGGCAGGTAAGGGAATCCATTGAGCTGTTCAGCTGTGACTTTTACTGCCTGCGAAGAGGAATCTGCATGGGTTGGGTAATTCCCGCCTGCAGTAACTGTCCTCAAGGGGGGTCTTATTAAGAGGCTACTAGAACTCCTACTACCCATTGTTTGACTGTTACTCTAAGCGGGGGGGACCTTAAAATACGTGGGGTGTCACTGAAAAGCTGAGGAACCCCAATTTTCGAGAGCTTCATGTGGCAGAGCAGCCACCATTCCTGCCTCCCCTCGCAGGACGCTCAGCGTTGGGAATGCCGTCATGCAAGTCATTCACTGCAACTGACATGGAATCCCCGAAAAGAATCCTACTGAGAAGCGACTTTTAAAGGGAGATGGGGTTCCATGTTAATGTTGAGGAGATAAATTGATGCAATTCATGCGAATTGTGATGGGGCCCGGGCTGGGAACTTGTCGCGATATGGCAATATCTAGGACAATTTTCAGACTAGCTTCATATAGACGTTAACCAATACTTGGCAATCAGTAAGGCAACCCACCTAGTAACTCCCCGCCTGTAAAAATCTCATCAAACATTGCAACCCAGCAGTTGAGACCAATCGAGTTCAGTTGGGTCTTCTTCCTTCCTCATCCACAGCTTTTCGATCTCACCACAGACGCTGTTCAGAAATGCAAGGTTTCCGCCGTCCAAGGGACCTTGCGCGAGTATGGCCAGCCTTTGTTCGACATGCTGGCAAACCCGGGAACCGTTGGCCAGATCTTGAAGGAGTGATCCCAAAGGTTAATAGTAGTAAGAATAACAGCAATAATGTTAGGACGGATCTTGAAGGAGTGCAGGGACGATTGAAGGGATAAGGAATGGAAACACAATGCAGGGTACTATGTTCTTGGGGATTGTTTAGGGACTACTGTAACGATCCATTCCTTCATCCCTGGCCAACCAGAGGTAAGAGGAATGCAGGTTGAATGGAAGGGGTCATAGGACGCAGCTACCCCAAGACATAGAAAGTTAGAAGCCAGGGCCAATAAGGGAAGTTGAGAAATTTCAAAAGAAGAGCAGCTTGACCTTTATTTGCGAACATCCCGGGATTTCTCCAGGAACCTTACCATGATTCTTCCACAGTCACAGACGAGTTGGTGGACGTTCTCCTCAGCCCACTTCTGACGAAAGGCGGCCAACACCAGGGCTTCAAGTTTCTGCAAACCATCAGTGCTCTTGGGATATGAAGGAGTATGAGGCGATTATGTGGAGTCTTTTGTAGGGATTATACAGAGATTTTTTGAGAAACTGCTAAATTGAACTTGCGACCATCGTGACTGCTGATTACCATCCCACATCACATCTTGATTTTTACGTTGCTGCAAATATTGTCGTTGCCATTACGCCACGTGTTTTTTATCTCCTGTAATTCCTCCTCTTCCAGATTGTTGCAACATTGGTTTTTATTCGGAATTGGAGAGACTGCTTTCACAGTCGCTGTCAACTGCCACATACTACACCTAAATTGAGGAATATACCCTGGATGGTACTAGGATCCTCCTGCCTACATAAATATCTAGATATGCGCAGGCGTATGTCCCAACTACACCGTGTGTTGCCCTATTCAACTGGATAATGTGCTTCGATTGGGGGTATAGGGCTCCCTGGTGCATTAAGCACCCTATAATAAACCCACATATAGGACAAAAATCCATGTCATGTTCCTTTTATCCATCTGAATCTCTATTATCCCAAAGCCTTAGTACACCGTAAGCCTATTTGGGAATCCCCAAACCCTAAATCCTAAAACCTAATCCCAGAAATCTTCAGTTACATAATGCCTGAAACCTGAATCCTAAAACCTAAGCCCTGAATTCTTCATGATTGCAATCCCTGGGAGGCTCTGCGGACGTCGTCTTTGACACCCTGTCTTATTCAGCTGGGCCTTTGCCAGAGCAGCCCCTTGGTGATAAGGCATGGACTATGTAGGGTCACAGAGTGATTCCGCTATCTAAGGGTAAAAGGATTATAGAGGGATTATACAGTGAGTGTCCAATGTTATGTAGGGCTGAAGGCTGCGGAATAGACAATCAAATGGAAAAGGAAATACTAACTGGGGTAGCGATTCATGACTTGGGTTATGCAAAGAATCTAGAAGCTGGAGCAAACAGGTATTTGTCCCAAATGCCCCTTTAACAACTATTGGGCAACATATCCCGAAAATCTGTTCGAATGGTTTAGGCCCCTACATTTCGCAGTTACAAAGCACCAAGTGAAAGAGTAGGTGGGGAACGGATCACTCAACTCAACATGATATGACTTACTCTCAGTAGGGAATAAGGAAGTAGAATCCTTCTATAATCCCTATATAACGTATTCCCATACTTCCTACTAACGCCCAGCAAGATGAATGCCAGTTGTCAGGTTGCTGGCAGATGAGCGCCTTTCTGACATTCCGGTTTGGGTCACTCTGCTGAAGCCTGGGAGATGTGTGTATTAATCATGATCCCAGAAACAAAGAGATTCTACAGGGTGTAAGGGGTTAAAGAGGATGTGGGGGCATATTAAGTGGGATACATGGCATTCTATAGAGGTTTTATATAAGGTCACATAGACATGTAGAGCTATGCAAAAGGAAGTGGAAACTACTGCAGCAACATTTGAGGTATGCTGGGGTGAGGAGGATCCTTGGACACCAGCGTCTCTCGGCTGGGTTTGGGGATTAGGGTTTAGGGATTAGAGGTTAGGGTTTAGGAGTTTAGTTTAGGGCTTAGCGTCTAGGAGTTTATGGTGTGGGGCTTTAGGGTTTTCGGTGCTGGCAAGCCATGGATGTCAGCTCAAACTGAAGCGGCTGTTGCATTGAGGCCCCGTGTGAAGGCCTTGCAGCGCTTCAAGCCGGCCGTGCACTCAGCGTCATGTAATGCGGGGTGTTATTTCCCGTGTATATACATAAATACATACGTACATATATATATATACAGATATATACATATATATATATACATATATGTATATATATACATATATATATATAGATACATGTATACAGCTTCCCCTGCGTAGGTCAGGCACGAGAATCATGGGCTATCATTTATAGTTGAAATCCTGCATGCCCTGAGGCACTTAAACCTTGGAAAATACGATGCGGCAGGATGTTTCAGGTCATATTGAGTCATACAGATAAATGTCCATTGGCGCCACTGCTACTCGACATGTCTTAGTGGCTGCCATGGCAAGGTGCAAGATGTCGTGCCTCTTCCAGGCAAGGAACCGCAGACATTGCTTTGCTGTCCGTGGACTTGATAAATAAGCGCAGTTTTGAGATTGGGGTCAGTGCTGTTGGACCCCAAAATGGATAACACCTCCTGTCAGCAACCACATGACCGATGATGACGGAAGGAAGAGCAGCCGAAGTCACGGAAATGACACGTGCAACACACAACCAAGGAAAAACAAGAAGTAATAACAAATAGTAGGCTCACAGGCAATGCCATGACCAAAGATGTCGCCTGCCTTAATCCAGGAGTTGGCCACTGCCCTCACGATGAAGCGCCTGAGATTGTGAATGATTTCCTGGTGAAATTCATCCGGGGCCTGCCACTAAAGAGCAAATGAGTTGAGGACAACCCGCTTGGTTGCATGTGTGCGATGTGCACAATGTGCACATCTACATGTCCCACTACGGCAGCATGAGCATCCAGCTTCAACTGAATGTTGATTTTTCACAGCACGAAACCTTAATCCTAAAGACCTTTGATAACAGCAAGTTTAGCAACATTTTCATCTACTGCCAAGCTCATGCTGCTGATTCCACGAGCCAGGCTTCTCCAAAGAAACCAGAAGCTCATCCTAAAATCTGCAAAAGCTCTTTGCTCAAGGGGATGATTCGCGTTGCCTGTTGGCATGCAGGATTGCTCGCAGGCGTGTTGCTGGCTCCGGTAATTATACCAACTGCTGGTTCATCGTTGGAGAACTTCGACTTGCAGCAAGTGTCGCCAGCCGTTGGGCTTATTCCCTGTCCCTTGCAAGCTACTGTCAGAACTGCAGAACAAGGCGCACGTGCACGAAGCATATCATGTTGCATGCTCAGCAGTCCTTAACTCCGCAAGTGGTTGCACCACGAAGAGGAGGAATTCAAAAACAGGCGCACCACGAGTAGCTTTCTGACGGTGAGCAATATCACGGCAATCTGTATCCATCCAATTCGATCATGCGATTGCTGAAAGCTTTGGGCCCCATTTGGGCACTGGCCCATGTCGTTTGGATCGGGGGCGCCAAAGCATGTCAGGACAGCACATCAGAGGGGATCTGTCCGTGTTGGGCATTGACCTGCTTATGTATGTTCATTCTGAACGTAGCTCAGCCTGTTCATGCTGTCGCAATGTTTCCACTAGAGGAAATAAAACACAAAGTATGTTATCTAACCACTGCTGCTGATTTTGCGTCAAAACACTACTGGCATTTGCCAGTGCCATCCTTCTAGATGAGATCCTCGCAGAAGCCCCGTAGCGGGAAAGCACGGCAAGGAAAGGAGAGTGCTTTGGTGCTGCAAGGAACGGATACATGTTTTCTGAAGATCAGCAAGCATAAGTGCAGGTAGGATTTCAGATGTCAAGCACCAGCTAGTCGTGAAAGAAATCTCATTTGCTGCTTGAGGGCTCTTTGCAACGCAACTGTAACGACTCTTCTCACCAAACCCCCTACCCTCAAGTCTGAACCCTTAACCCCTGAACTCCTGGAACCAAGATGCCATCCCCTCCAGCCCTTTCGCCCCCCAAAGCGCATCATAAGTATCTACATCTTTTATGATCTGGATTCCGATGCAAAACTTAATTAGCCAACAAGAAAAAGGTGCCACCAAGAAACACATACCCCTTTAAAGGGTAAGATCCCTGTCTAATCCCCTCATCTATTGCGGTTTCCATTTCAGTTTGATTTTCCACTTTTGGGGGATAGTATCCTAACCCTTAAACCTTAAACTCTAAACCCTAATACCCTTGAAACTTAACTGGTGCTTAGTAGGGAATAAGGAAGTATAATCCCTGTATAATTCTTATACAGTAGATTCCCGTACTCCCTATTAACCCTTGACCCTACACCCCAAACCCTAGTCACCCCTTGAAATGGTACATTTGGTACCCCAACCCCTAGTTACCCCTTTAAATGGTAAATTTGGTACCCCAAACCCTACACCCCAAACCCTAGACACCCCTTTAAAATGGTACATTTTGGAGGAGCAGGTCTTGGTCGTTGGCTCCGGAATTGCTGGGTTGGTAGCTGCCAAGTCTCTTCAGACTTTTGGAGCCTTGGATGCTTTTCAGGGTTTAGGGTGTATGGGTTTAGGGCTTATGGATTTAGGATTTAGGGATTTAGGAATTTGGAACTTAGGGTTTAAGGTTTATGGTGGAGGCGCATGGAGCTTCAACTGGGGTTATAACCCTACTTAAATTCCCCTATATGGCCTGTTTGGGGTTAGCCCTTTTGTAAGTGGGGCATAAACCCTGTTGTGAATAGTTACTATGTCCCATGAACCTCCAAGTAAAAGCTGAAGTCAAGGAAGGCATAGGCTGTTATGAATAGTTACTGCGTCCCATGAACCTCCAGGTAAAAGCTGAAGTCAAGAAATGCATAGGAAACTACATAGGGTTTAGGGTTCAGGGAGAATGGAAAACAAGATGGAAAGACGAAAGCAAATTAAATGAAAACTTAGTCCGTATAGGGAATGCCAAATGATGGGCCGGGGTTCATCACTCGTCCAGAAAGAGACGAACCTGAACGGTCTGCCGCCGATCCAAAGCAGAATGACGTGCACCAACATTGGTGTCCAAGGAGCATACGGTCGCCAAACCATAATCACGCTCATGTTGCCAGAACATACCGTCACTCGAGTTCCATGCTCAAAATAAATAACGTTCGTTTGTCAAGAGCATACGGTCATCAGAGCATCCATGCCCAAACCAGAAGAACGTTCGTTTTCCAAGAGCATACGGTCATCGAAGCATCCATGCCCAAACCATGATAACGTTTCTTTGTCCAAGGAGACAATCTTGCGGAGAACCGCATAGGTGCAAACAAGCAGAAGCTACACCGCTTCCAGCTCACGGACCGTTCCGTCCCAGCACGGGCCACCGCAAATTACTTGTTTGCTGTGCACCTGTTGCAGCAAGTTGGGCTGCATGCTTAGTTTGTATTGGGGTAATATTGAGATAATGGAAAAGGCAATGGAGACTACAGGGATTAGGGATTATATGTTTAGGGTTTTAGGGCTTCTGTCTTGGGAGCCGTGCACCTCTACAGGGTGTTTGGTGTCTTGAGCGGTTTTGCTCCCTCTGCGCTCTTCCACAATGAATGCATAAACAGCTGGTTGAAGTTAGCGAGCTGAGCAACAAGAGCGTTTCTTGCTGCCAGGCGCAGTAGATTCTGCAAGTGCTATAGGTTTCTGAAGTTCATGTTCGAATAATGTCCCTCAGACGTAAGACGTAGAAACGGTTATTTTCCTCACAAACGCCTGTATTTTCATGAAGGCTCTATCCAGCATATTCGAATGTGTCCTCTTAAATCCAGCACGATCACTAGAACATGTCTGGGAAAACATCCGGATGTTATCCGGCAAGTCGGCACCCAAAATCAGACCCCATACCTCTTTGAAAGTACTGAACCCACGGCGCTTGGTCTGCATCTACTTCAACTGCATTCCTAGTTTTTACAGGGCAAGTGATGAACTCGGCACGAAAAAATTACCAATATCATTGTACCAGATTCCTTGTATGATTATTATATAAGGTACCTCGAGCAATCTTCCAGGCCCTTACATTGCATACAACACATATAATTCCAATATGACCCCAGCTTCAATGTCACTTTCCAGTTGATGCTCCATTCTCCCTAGCCCCTTAAGCTTATCTACCATATATTCTCCTTCTGCTCTGCCCCTAGACTAGGTTTTTCAGATGTAAGGCTGCAGTTTTGGATGCTAAGAAGAGATTGGCTTTAGCACTTAGGGGTTAAGGTTTTGGGATTAAGGTTAAGGATATAGGTTTTAAGGCAAGTGTTTTAGGGTCTGGGGCTTGGTTTAAAGGGTTTCGGGTGTGGAGGGTCCGAGGTCCAGGGACCAGGGCTGTGACGATGGGTTTAGGGATTTGCGGGAATTGAAGTTGCGCGGGCTTCCGGCCTCCCAGCGTGTTAGGAATTTAGGGTAGGACTGGTACTGGGTACTTGCATTGCGACAACTATAACTGCCAAAACTAGCTGCGCTGTCCGTACCTAGATCATGCCCCCTATGATATCCTTGCCCTTGATAGTTGGGAGTCTCTCAAATCGTGTCCACCATACTCCTTCAGAGGAACTCAACCTCGTGTAAACCCAAGCATCCCAGAATTCCCTGAGTGGAAACCGTTGTTTCGAAAAAACGCCCAACTTAGGTTGTAATGTGACTGTCTTGGAAGCCCTGGACCGCCTCGGTGGTCGGACAAACACTTTTCAGACAGGTGGGAACTTGACGAAACCGAGAGTTCTTTCTAGGGATTCAGAGGTGTCAGAGTTTAGAGTTTAGGGGGTAGGGCTTGCCAAGATCCTTCATGTCGTCAAGGGGATCCTATGCAGTTTCATGTTAATGGCTTTGTTTCTGGGTTTCCTGATCTAGGTGCCTTTGCCGGCGTTGAAGAGGGTGCCCACTGGGTTCATGGCGGCACTGAAAATGTCCCTGTTGCCACACTTCTCGAGATGTACAATGTCTCTTGCAGTTTGTTAAGAAGCTGTTTACACGTCTAGGCATACTTAAATCTCACATGAAATAAGAATGCGTCATGTCCATTGTAGACACCTCACTCATTGAAATCATTGTCCTTTTCTAGTCCTCTTGCGATTTTTGCAGAACATCCGCCCGACAAGTCATCCTCTAAGCTCCTGCAGTACCCCAATGAGAGCCCAGGTATCTCAAGTTCGAGTGGGAGGTGATGATGATTACGAGGGCTCCAGGGACCAGTTGCTTATTGATGGTTAGTACGGAATGGGGCTGTAAATCCCTAACGTAGTTACTACACAGCTCCTTATAGCCTCATCCTTACAATACCATACAATCCCAGTTTGTTCTTCATTTTTGGTCTGATTCTCAATTCTTGGTGTAATAACCCTTGACGGTAGTCCCTATACCCGTTTTCTTTTATTGCATACTAAACACCAGCAAGGTTGCTGCTGATTTCACAGAAAGGAGAGACACTTTCGGCCACTTAGAGCTTATTTATGGACATGGAAAAATATGTGGATACACAGGGTTGCATAGAGATGCATAGGGATATGTTAGGTTATAGGCATACCATGGAGTCTGGATAAGCCCCTGCTGGACTTAAAGTTTACCATAGCACCAGAAGTCCCAAGTTCAAGTCACATATAGGTATGCAGGATTTTGTCTATCAACAGTATCATCTTGTGTACCTGTTTGTTGGTAAGAGTTCAGGCCGGCTTCATGGTCAATACTTGAGGTGGACCTCCCACCCTGTAATAGTAGCCATGGGTATACCACTATTACAGGGTGGGGTGTCTTTCTAATCAAGACTGTTCTTGCGATATAGCTAGTTTTGTATGGTCATCATTCTGTTTTTCATGCTAGGCCGAGTAGCATCGAGGCGACGTATTGGCTAGAGGCACTGCCATGGTTAGCAATTATCGTGAGCACGCTCCCAAAAGTGAGGGCCCTGCAAACACTGCAGTTCTATTAGAAGGGTTGATGCGCGGTTCCATGATATGTTGTCGGAGGGTACAAGCTGAGGCCTTCAAAGAGGACAACTTGTTGCCTTATTTGATACTGTATATATCACCCATCCCTATATAACCTCATGTGGACAAAGGCAGCTCAAAGAGACCTGTCCTTCGACCTTTTTGCTTCGGCGCGAGCTGCAAGCCAGGCGTTCGCCGAAGACCCGCAGCGGCTGATTGGGTTCGATGTGTAGGGATTTATAGGGTTCTGGAAGGGTTGCATAAGGTTATGTAGGGCCATCTGTATAGATATATGTAGAAATAGGGTTCAAGGATAGGGTAATGGAGAATCAAAGGTAAAAGAAAAGGGAAAACAAACTGGAAATTGGGATGATGTAGCAAATTGTAGGGTTGAAGCTACACATGGTAGTTTGTCAAGTTTACAGTCCTTCTTCGGGCCCCTGCTACACCACATCCGCTACCATGCACGATAACCAAAACGGCGCCATATTTTTTGATAACCTGCCATATGACATCATGAAGCACACATGTGAGAGGTTCATGCATTGTCGGCTGGTGGATGCTGCCAGGACGCCCTCTCAGACAACGCCACGAATGTTTCGGTCGCGGACGTTTGGCATCGCGCACTGCAGTTCAACTATTCTGCTGAAGGGCAGGTTCTTCTTGACTGGCACAAGAAGGTCTCTTACGAACAGGACCTTCTGCCCGAAGCACTTTTGCAGACTCGACCCCGACGTTGACTGGCAACTCTCCTAAAGGAGGCTGTCAAGTCACATCACCAAACAGTTGGTAAGCCCTACCTGGACCCTACTCAACGCACTTTTTTGGAGTTACGTCCTCTGTTTTTGTCGTACGTATCCCTGAGGCTCAAGGCTTCATAGGGTCCAGGCAAGTCCTCCAGGTACTTCGTAGGAAAAGGGGGAATTGAATCCCTATATAAGTTCTTACCTAAACTGTTATGATATTACCAACAATCCATGCCCCCATTTCCTATTAAGTACCACGTGTTCTTTTCTGAAAGGATTCGGGCGCCTCCATCGACAAGCTGAGCCACTTGCCATGACAAAGCCATTCATGTTGTGGAAGTCTCCGGTTCCTCTTTCGACAGAAGTTTCATGTACAGGCATGAGCAAGTACTTGCATGATTCCTACATAATCCGTTTGTAGCTATAGAATACCACACCCAAGCCTGACTCTTCCCGAATGATCCTAAGACCCCAGACTCTGGAAGGACCAAGCCCTAAATCCATGAAGCAGGACCCGAATCAGAAAAGCTTGCAAGACCATAGTACCTGAGGTGCTTTGGCTGAATACGTTGCGGACTACACAGACTTCTATAGCGATCGGTCAATGGGTCGGGAGAAGCATGGTGATGGCTTTGTGGAAGGCTTGGAGTTGATAGGCAAAGCGGTTTTAGGGTTTGGGGAACCCCCTAGACCCTTAAATTCCGCATGTACCAAGAATGGAGAATCAAATGGAAAAGAGAAAGCTGAAAATGAAATGGAAACTGGGTTTATCTGGAGGTGTATGGTTTGTAATGTAGGGAAGTTTAAATATCTACGAAGATAATGCACGCAGCTTCCTCGTAGAATTATTACAGTCTAGGCTAGGGGGCTTCCTTTAGACCTTGAAAGGGGATTGTGATTATTCAGGCCCCAGTGCTATGTACACATGATTTACATGCGTGCTCCGTGTACTTTAGGGTTCCGGCGGAGAGTCGAGGGACGGGGGCTCGGGATAAGGGGAGAAAGGAAGTCCCCTAAGCCAAAGCTATCACATGTGAATGCTCATGGTAGGGTTCGGGGTGTGTGGTGCCTCTTAAAGCTAGCATTGAATCCATTAGTGACGCTTGTTTTCAGATATGGCAGGAATACTGCAAGTAAGGATGACGGTCAAAGTAATGGTGCGAGTAACCGTGGTGCAGATACTCGCCCAGAGTCCGAGACCTAGACGGAACCATATTTGAGCAGGGCTTCCAAGCAAGGGCTTCCTGCATTCAGTGTAAAAAAACTACAAAACCATTCCACGTTGATAGTATCTCGGCAGGCTGCAAGAGGGATCGTGTAAACCCCAAACCCGAATCAGCCCTAAACCTTCTCTGCCTGAACCTGAAACCTGGAGCCGCAATCCCGATCTTAAAACGCCTCAAATGCCGGGAGACATTCTTTCTGCACGCGGTGTAGTGAACGCTGCTATCGCCTCTATGACCGTTGCTGTTGATGATCTCGTTTTACGTCTGGGGTTTTGGTGATGTTACATAGGCCAAACCATTGCTCTCAGAAGCCTGACACGGTTCAAGTTTAAGGGTTCTGGAAACAGACCGTCTGGAACCTGATCGGAATTACTGTTACACTTGTTGTCGAAGTGATGTTACTTAACATTTGTGTACGCGCCAAGCAGGTGCCTTATAGGAATCTTGAAATAGCAGGGTCCTCGGCGGAGAAATCCTAACTCAAGGACCATAAGCTAGGCACTACCCCAAAACGCCCTTTTTTCAATGCGTAATGTCGATTCCCGCGCACTCGACAGTTCTAGCAGGTGGATATTCTACCTTGGTGAGGCGCTTGGCCGCCGGCTTAGACATACGTTTGCAATCTCCCGTGACTCGAGTCACGCTAAGCTTGAGCAAAGATTTTGGGTGGGGGCTGACTCAAAATGATGGGATTCTTATGCAGAGCTTCAGGGTCCCTTCGAAAGCTTCATACGGAAGTGGTGTCAGGGGCACGCAAAGCCAATCCGTGATTCATCCTTCCTTGCGGGGTACAGGGCCCCTCCTCTCCAAACACTTTCCTCAGTACCTGCCTGTTCTGCGAGTGACTCAACTTTGCAAAACCAGAAGGTCCACTTAATGCTTGAGGACCAGCATTCCTGTGAAGAAGCGCAAAGTTGACCAGGAGGACCTTCATCCGGATTTTTTTTGAGAAAGGTCTTTCAGTGTTCCAAGTTACAGAGACCCTGCAAAAGCTGAGGAATCCACTATTCAGATGCTGGTGTGGCCGTGACAGCCAAAGGTGAAGTGCTTCGAGGCCATAGTACCGCGACAGACCGTTGCTTGACAAAATCCTGCATGATCACAATTGCCCTGCACCATCGTCAGTCTGGTGAGGTCATGTAGGGCTTTGTTAGCAGAACAGGAACAGTAACACCCACATGCCCCCTAAAATCCAGCCTCTTACTGCTGAATCCCAGTTGTCATGTCATTTTCTATTTTCTTTTCCATTACCCCAACATCCCTGAGTAAGCCAGAGACATGAGTTCAAGGCTTGCAGTTTGAGATGGCCGGTATGCTACATTCACACCATGAAACAAGTTTCAGTAGAAAATCAATCGTTTCAGAGACTAGAGGTCACTTTCTGGGAGTTCCTGTAATTTGGACTTTATACGTTAGTTTGCTGTCTACAGGGAGGACCCTTATGTTGCGAAACACCCTTATGCCGGTATTCGCAGGCACGGCTTTGATACTGACCGCCTCCATTGGGGCTTTGCAAGCCGAAGCCAAGCTGCAGATCATGCTTCTTTTTGAGCTTGGCGGCTGGTATGGGAGTTTCTCAGAATCATCCCTGTCTAATCCTTAAGGGGGGGTCCCATCAGTCATACTCCTAGACAATTGCGAAGCTGCATGCTCCACAACTTTCAGGAATCTTTCTCAAGATCGGAGCATGCATTTGCAAAAAAAACAACTGAAATCAGAGGCCCTTTTATTGTTGGGAATGCCCGTTTGTTCCAATGAATGACGAGCATTGGGGTTTATGCCTCTGGGTTTTCATCCCTTATCCCATCCAAACTGAGGCAAAAGGTTTGCTCCGAAAGATAAAGCAAGATGGAGTTGTCGTTGACAATGAAGGGTTTCACAATTCGGCGATCCCGAAAGGGGTCCATACGAGAAGCAGCTGTTCAGTGTTCCTTAATACAAAAACATCCTCGTTCTTGTATATCATTCAGGCACAGTTACGCCTCCTACTAGCACTCCTAGTCTTCTGCTTTCCATGCCAATAATCACTATTGTTGCTCTTACAACGGCCATTATTACTACCGGCACAGCTGGTTCTGCCACACTCGAGCATTTCTCGAAATCAGCTTCCCCCGTACAGATCTTCAAATACCATGGTTTGTGTTACAAGGACATGCAGCTTTTGGACATCCCTGCTACGCTTGAGGACCACCCTAATTCTTCTACTACAGCCCTAGCTACCTATTCTGGCTACCATAGTAGTCATACTACCACCTGCAACTGTGCAGACCCCCGAATTCGGAGGCCTGAACCCTAAGTTGCAAGCCCTGAATCACAAACCATGGATCCTACACACCTAAGCTGCTTCCGTTTGAGTAGTATCTATTTGGGAGTACTATGGTACCCAATATAGAGTAAGATTGTATCCTCCTTTTGGGGTATAGTATTTTATACAAGGAATATAATCTTACTGGGTTTAACCACCAAAAAAAACACTACTCATTTCAGGAAAGCATTACCTTCGAGCCCGCTCTGCCAAGCTGGAAGCTAGATGCTTTAAGACGCCTGGGCATGGGAAATGTGGCGAAGGTGCTGCTTGGAGGACATGTCTTGTTAATCATAGCTTCAAGTACGGTAGTAGCAATAGAAGAAGTAGAAAAGAAGAGGAAGGAATTCAAGCTTGCAGGTTTGGGGGTTTTTGAAGTATGCTGTTCGCCGTATTGCGGTCTTAGAAGAATTAGTTGTGCAATTGTACCATAACAGCGGCGTTGATAATCCTTTCAGCAATGGTTTGGAAAGTTCCTGCGGGAAACTGGCACTCTAGGTTTCAGCATGCTTGGCATTGGAAGGCTTGAGTGTGAATAGATGTAAGCGAAGCATTAAAAAGATCACATGGACCTTGACTGCTCATAGAACGAAATCCTTATCGTGCCATGCTGTACCCAGGCTGGTACGCCTGTCGGAGCGAGTACCCCGACTTCAATCCGTATACTCACTTGGCCAGTTGCTATCCGAGCAGCAACAGGGCCATGATCTCATATCTTTTTGCATTTGGGATGGACATGAGCATGCCTCCAAGCCAGTGCTGGAGACTCGTCACAATTCAGCAAAGACGATAGTGAATGAGAGTTGTATTCTAGGGTGCTTTCAGATTTTGCAAATGACAAAAGGAGTGTTTCCTTGGCGGCGAACAAGCGGTGACCGCAGAGAAGATTGATGCCGAACAGTTGAAACGAAGCTGAGATTGCAAGTGGCATATGCTGAAATGCCATCCTTGGAGAGTTTATTCCATTATGTTGCTTCTTTGCAAGCTGTGACGGTATGATAATTGATAGTTGGCATAGGTCCCTGCTTCAATTGCCAGGACGTGTTTCTCGCGAACTCAACTCTTCCCTTGGCATCGCCGCTGTGGAGGAGGTCACCATCACAAAATGGTCAACAAACCCGTACATCCGTGGGGCTTGGAGCTACGCTCCCGTGAATTCCTCCGTGAAGGACGGCTTTGTGACAGAAGGCATGTAGAAAGCTGTACCTTCTTCTGTCTCATAGAAATGGTGGCAGTTTGGAGGCCAGTCTTCGAAATTAGTAGAACGCAATTGGTTCGCTAAGCACTTGGTAGCAGAATAGATGGCCGCACAGCCCCAGGGCCGGCCTCCCTACGAAGTGAGATGCCATGTGCTTGAGCAGTGAAAATCATTCAGCACTTGGAAGACCTTGTCACATCCACGGCCCACAAAGTCTTAAATGTTGTAAATGCTAAACTAAAGATCTGCGCTCCAGGACTTTGACGCCATGGCACGGAGTGTGGGAAGACTGCACTTTGCTGGCGAAGGCACTTGCAGACTTCTGTACGGCTTCTTGGCCCAACCTTCTTTTTCTCCACATGTTCACAGCCCGACCTTAATGTTCTACATCACCATGAGGTGGAACATGCTTTAGGTTCCTCATCTTGCGCCTGCTAGTTGCAGATTGTCCTTACTTGAGCCCGTGAGGCAACGTTCATGCAGCCGTGGTAAGTGGAGCTCGCGCCGCACATGACCTGCTGGACTTAGAGGAGGGAAACTTGCAACGGTGGCCACTGTTCAGACAAGCCACTGGGTTGGAAAAGGCACCTCACATTCCTGGCTGTCCAGTCATATGCGTTGTCATATCAATGGGCTCAGGGCTCTTGTCACAGCAACGGGTCTGTCTGATGGCATGTGTCGTTGAGGCTTCAAAAAAAGTTATCGAAAAGTCATACGGTAAGATACATTAGACTTTTTTTGCAGTAAGTCACCTACCTGCCCACCAAGACTCACAACAGCAATGTTCAAGAAGGTTGTTCAGCAGGTGTTTCTTGACTGAAGCCACTCATTGCTTGACGGTGGAGAGTTTGGAAGGAGGATTTCACTGTGGGAGAGCCGGTGCAAATCTGAGGACATTTTGCACTTGTGCACGAACCCGCGAACTATGTCTGGGAGGACCGGAGCATCCACATTCCCCACAATCCCCTCTTCCAACATCAACGGCCCATGCATGCAACAGAGCATTTCAGTTGTTTCCGCGTTCATTTTGCCCAGGCAGGGTGCGCGTATTTCTCGGGAGGATGGACTTTAGGATGTGCAGTTGGTTCATGGTAGGTGGAATACCCGTTAGACGACGAGGCTCCACCTTCAGGTCCTGCAAACAGAATTATCCTGATATGGAGCTAGGCAAGCGAACCAGGCCGGCAATATTGCATGCCGAAGATTATGCATGTTGCATTGTTCAGATTGGAACGGGTGGGTTCTTTTGCATGTCACGTTACACAACGAATGAGCAAAGCATGTGCAGTTCTACAGTCTGGTGCTCGTAAAGTTGCAAGGCCGCGGAGCCTGCCCAAAAGCAGGGGAAGAATTCCAGTGACATTTGGGCTGCGCAGCATCCAGTCCCTGTTGTCCTTTGGCCGACAGATTTGGAATGCGATCGTTCTTGAGTAAGGACTTCCTAAGTAGGAGGTATGTCCTGTAGAGTCCCCAGCTTTTTGCGACTCATCTCACCAGTGGTCTTTGAACAACTTGAACCTTGAAACGTTGTAAGACATCAAAACTGCCCTGTTCTGCTGTCATTCACCCAGCTAGTTTGCCTTCTTTTGCAATCAAAATCGTGCAAGCCACATATTGCTGTGTTCTGCACATGCCAGACAGAAGTCGAGGTATGTCTGATTCATGGCGTGAGCAAATACATCTCGTGGTCGCGAGATGAAAGCAAGTCAGGCAGTCTCCCGTGACTCTGAAAGGATGAAGCGGGCTAAGTTTCTGTCTGCTGGTTCGGGGCATTTATCCTCTCGATCATCAAAATGCAGAAGCCTACCCAAACAATGTGTGAGAGGGTCCAAGACCACACTTTGCAATTGCCAAAGGGGGGGGAAGTGCATGTTCCTGAGCCTTAAACGAATCAGATGCCAAGAACGTTGGCTGGGCACACTGATTCTAGCTTTCTGTTCGAAGATATGGGAACTTTTCAGACTGATCCCTATAAAATCCCAAAAAGTGACTCTTACTATGGTTGCCTATGTGTCCCTGAAATTTTATAGGGTCCCCGTAGTTTGAGAAACGCGCCTGAGGCCTGGGGCACGAGATCCAATAGCAATCTCATATAGAACGAATTCTAAAGATCATCAAGTTGCCTAGCTCTATCCCAAGGCCTAAATCTAAATATTTTTTTATATTTCTGCGAAATTTTATCTCCATCATGAACTACCCGGCCCTATCCCAAGGCGCAATGAAATATGTATTTTTCATTATATCGCTTATCGTATAAGGTGAGAGGACGATATTTATATGCTTGCAGGGCGTATCTAAAATTTTTGGATGATAAAAGAATATATTCATTTTTTTCTAAATTAAGTATCTTATTAAGGATATGGCGTAGGCGTTACGACCATTTCGTTCGCGTATAATCTGTTTGTTTTGATTGATTTTTAAAATGTTTGTTGCTAAGCACTTTAAAATACGTGAAATTTTTGGTCGTTTGGCTCCGGGACGGTCGTCTACGTGATTTATCTCTCTGTAATTATTTATTCAGCAGGGCATATAAATCTAGGGCTAAAAATGAATTTATAGATTGGTCTTATTTGTCTATGGGGCTGGATTCGTTCCTTTCGTTCCCCGTAGTATTGTTGTGTAGAGAGCTTAAGAGGGATAAATGAGAGCGAGAGATTGGGTCGGATACGGAATTGCACGATTGCGGCGGCTCGGCGGAATATACAGATCTGACGGAGATCCGAAATTTTTCATAATCTGTAAATTGGTCGTTTTTATCGCACGCGATTTTAAATAATGATTAATTTTCATATTTCCTACTCGACTTTTCATATATTATTTATCGGATTTTTCATGAATATTTTCTATTCTTGTCGATAGCGGCTCAATTCTAATGATTCTCTATAAGGAATATAATTGGAGAATCTATTTAGATATTTATTCTATATTATTTTAGATAATATTATAATGATGGAATTCGGATTTAAATTCATATGTATTTAATAGATAAATAATTCTCATCTTTTTTATATATTTTGATATCTTATAATAATGAAAATGATAATATATATATTCATATATTTTCTCATTTTTAATCATTTAAAATCTTGCACTAAATATATTATTTTTTCTTCAAATATTGATTTATATATAAGAAATGATTGAAAAATCTATCAATAAATGAATACGAAAATTATCATATTATATTTCAAAAATATTATGATTTTGTAATAATATTATTGAAAAATTGATTAAATCGAGAAAATCTTATTGATATGAGGTTTTATAAGATTTTATATTATAAATGATTCGGATAAATAATCGATTCGTAAAATAGACAGGAGCTACATATCTGAATGCAGATACGTGATAATATGATATATATATATCATGATAGTGATAGTTTATGTTTGAAATTATTTAGGAGGCGCGGCATCATATAGAATCGTCTTTTTCTCTTCGTCTCTCTTCTCTTTCTTTTCATCGCTATTTTTTTTTTCTCTCTATTGCCCTCTAGCCTTCTTTTGCCCTCTCTTGTTTTCTGTTGCCTATTATCGTTTCGCGTCTCTCTTATCTTTTCTCGTCTCTTCTGGCTCTTTCTTCTTTCTTCTTTCTTCTCTTCTCTCTCTCTCGAATCTCTTCTCTTTTGTCTTATCTCCTCTCTTTTTCTGAAACTGTTTTACTTCATAATCTCTCTCTCTCTTTTCTCTTCTCTCTCCTATCTCTTCTCTCTCCTCTTCTCTTCTCTTCTTTCTCTTCTCTTCTATTTTTTTTAATTTCTTAAATTCTCTCTCTTCTCTTCTCTTCCTCCTCGTCTTCTAATCTCTCTCTTCTCTATTCTTCTTCTTCTCTCGTCTAGCCTCTCTTCTCTTTCTTGACTTCTCTCCTCTCTCATTTGGTCTCTTCTTTCTTAGCTATTCTCTCCTCTGCTCTCTTCTTTCTTATCTCTTCTATCTCTTCTCCTCTCTCTTATCTATTCTCTTCTTCTCTTCTCTCATCTCTCTCTCTCTCTTCTTTCATTTCTTTTTTCTCCTCTATTTTCTCTTGCGCGTCTCCAGCAATAAGTCTTGAAAAGGATTGCAATTTTGTATTTCACGACCACAACCCCCTCGAGCCCTATGATTGATGACACTTTTGAGACGGGAAAAAACCAGGCAAATTCAAAATTGTCAACAGGCTTGCATTTCATGATCTTCCCGCTTCTGTGCCTGTTGCATTTTTGAGACGCGAAAACGACGAGTCCAAAAGCGACGACAATTCTGCGTTTCACGATCACGACCCCCCGATCCCTAGGATGGATTTATTTTCGAGATACGAAGGTGCCAGACGATTCCAAAAGTAAAGGCAATTCTGGGTTTGGCAACCGCGATCTTTCCGATCCCTATGATTCTTAATATTTTTGAAACGCGAAGAAACGCAATACGAGCCCGAAAGTAACTACAATTAATTAATCTACGTCTTCCCGATCCTTGTGAATTCTGATATTTTTGAAACGGGAAGATGTCAGACGAGCGAGTGTAGAACTGATGAAAGGAGCTCTCCCGGTCCGTCCGATTATTGAGATGCGAATACCCAGGACAAGTCCAATGGGACGACAGTTATGCTTGTTGCACTTTTAAACGCGAAAATGCCAAACGAGTCCAAATGAAACAATAATTCTGCTTGTTGCATCTTTGAGACCCAAAGGTGCCAAACGAGTCTCAAAAAACGATATTTCTGCGTTTCACGACCACAAGAAGCAAAACGAATCCAAAAATGAAACCAATTCTAGTTTTCGCAAGCGCGACCCCGCCGATCCTTGTCCTTAATATTATTGAGATACGAAGATATTAGACAAATCCCAAATTCACGGTAATTTTGCCGGTCCGCGTGACTATTTATATTGTCGAGATACGAAACGCAAAACCAGTCCAGAAGTCACGACAATTCTAAGCTTCGCGATCGCGTTTGCAAAGCGAAGAGACCTGCGAATGAGTTCAATTCTGTGTTTCGTGATCTGCCAAAATATTTTTTGAGATATGAAAAATAAGTCCAACCGTGACGTCAATTTTCCGTTTCGGGATCACGACCCGCCTAATCATTGTGATTGTAAGCAGTTTTGACACGCGACAACCCGAGGCAGGTTCAGTCCTGCGATCACGACCCCAACTCAGTCTTGTGAATTTTTTTAAAAACGCGAAAACTCGAGAAACCCAAGCTTGACAATTCCTGGGACTTTTGAAACATTTGACGCGAAGGCGCAAGATGAATCCAACACAGACAACAGTTTTGGGTTTTGCGGCTCCAACTTTCGGATGATTTTCCAATCCCTGTGATATGTGTGTGACGATTTTTGTTTCGGGCACATCCAGAGCAATTCCAACATAAGTCCGAAGCTCCGCGAACGCTTGCAAGCAATTGAATTATGCAAACGATTGCAGAAGCTTGCAAGCACTAACGCAAAAAATACGCGTCATTTCCTGGTCCTGAAAATTATTCGAAATTCCTCACTTCAAAAAATCTAATACAAACGATGAAGTGGCATGGCATCGATAAATTGTTCGTGTTTGTGTGTCGCTGATCAGGGCCTCTGCGCTGAAGTCCAAAATGCTTTTTTTTTTCCCGCTCCTTGATGCAACACCAGAAGAACCCTTTTTGCCATAAAAAAAATTGTCAGTTCACAGTCTTCACAATTTCACAGACAATGAGCAATTTTACTGATTTTTTACAAAATGTCCTTTTTGTAATTGAATTTATTCTTTTTTTTGGTAAA